CATTTTCCGAGTGATGGGGCGAATGGACGCCGCAGCTGTTCTAGAGAAAGATGTGGGGGCGTGGTTATGATCCTGTAGTCTCTAGGGCAGCAGGTCTGTCCTTGTTATTTCAGCAGTTCATGCCCAGAGAGTTCCCAATTTAAAAAAAAATCTGTTCACAACAGATTCATGGGTAACTGGAAAATGGATATATGGATCTTCCCCCTAAAAGCTAGACTTGCCTTCCTTCGTGTAGAGCGCTAGCAGCTTGCCAGCTTCACAGATGCTTGGGAATAGGGAGTGCACTACGTGAGAAAAAAAACTCGGACCTATGAGTAGTGATAACGAATGACTGTGTATAAAAATACTGAACACATTTTAAACATATGTGATGATAAAAGATGGAAGGGTATAAATACTGCAGAAGTGGATTTGTGAATTTTTCCTGGTGCTTTCTGACATACAAATGGACAAAGAACAAAGCCACTGTTCCAATGCAATACTTTGAATATAAACAGTGTGCAAAAACTGCCTGTATAATTTTAAAACAAAAAGTGCTACCACAGAAATAGACTGATAGTAGGACCAAAGGGAAAGAACTCCTTGTGTTCCTTTTATAAAAATGTGATATTTTGTTTTTTTCTGCCATGGTGATCATGGACGCTTTAAAACACACACATGCTGACTGTGATTATGAAATATATGTCACACATGTGCATGAGTGAGTCGTATTGCCAAAAAAAAAAATGTAGAAGAAAATCCTAAATGTGTCATCTGCTGAAGAATAATGATGGAGCTCACTTATACATCTGTATTGTTAAGGTTGAAATTATTTAATACAGTTTATAGGAGAAAAAAGTGAGTTATTGTAAATTGATAAACACAACAAGCATATAGACTGAGATGTTTTGTTTTGTGCATCACATGGTGAACTTTTTCTAGTCATGTAACATCTGATATGTATAAACACATGAGGATATGATATGTCATTCTTTAGAAAATAGCATTCTTCACTTAAAAGTGGGGGAAAATGTACTTTTCATTATGTGAAGTTATAAAACATTGTTTGTCTTTCATTTTATAATATTTCAAGATTTATTTATTCCACATAAGATTTGAAACATGTTCAAATAGCATCACCCTTGTTCAAAGAAGTTTTGTGCATTTGTGAGGGTGTTGAATTGTGTGCTAGTCCATTATAGTGTGCTTGATATGTGTGCTAGTCCATTTTTGTGTGCTCGATTTGTGCTAAAACTGTGTGGACTTGAGTGTGTGCCCATTCCTTCTTTTAGTATGTGACGGAGATTTTGTAAAATTAAAGGCATTCTAAATCATGTGAGAAAATTTGCCAGTGGGTTTCATTATCTTACTGTGAGTGGAAGGTGCTAAAATGGTTATAAATAAGTGCAATGATAGTGTTCAATTGAAAGTTTGTTTTGGTAGTTGAACCTTTGTATATTTCATGTATTTCTCAAAAGGGGGAGAAATTAAAAGTCACAAATATTTTAAAGGTGCTAATGTACATTTGATAAGAATTCCACACAAAATAATTTGCTGTTCCAAATTATTAATTAAATTATCTCATTAAATATATTTGGTGAAAATCCTTTGCTATACATCACACTGGTCAATCGGAAATAGATTTTTTAAAAAAATGTGAAAAAAATACTTGATTTATAAATTTTGCTCAAAATCTGGCATACAGTGTACATGAATTTTTATACTTTTGCCATTACACTTAGCCTAGTGAATTTCAACTGCAATGTTTGTACAAAATTTAACCACTTTTTAAAATCATAAGGAGAAAAAGTGATGTATAAACACATAATAAATTTACGAGATCTGCTAGCATTTTTTAAAACAAAAATCTAGCTAAAGATTATTTTCTTAGATTTCCAGTGTGATAATTTGTTACTAAAATCTTTTTTAAAAAAATCACAATTAGAAAAACTTGTCATTTTATAATACTTTTAATAATTAAAGCAAGGTTTCTCTGCAGTTTTCTTTTTAACATTTTTCTGTGACTATACAGCATGTACTGTACGTGGAGTTTATTGTGAGTATTGTGCGGAACAGTTATTATTGCCAAATAATTGACCAAAACTTGGTTCTACATTATGTTAATACACAGTATGCATTAAATTGATCGAATTGTAAATAATTATTATCATGTGAAAAATAAATGACTATAAAGTTGGAGAGTCTTCTATATTCTGTTTACAACCAGAAATGAAATTGGTTTGGGTATTTTATTTTTTGTATCTTGAAATATATTCCAGAGAAATATGTGATCCCCCAACAGATTTAGAAGATATTCTTTTGAGTGCCTGTTTCAGAATATGGGTTCTAGATATATGTATTTAAAAAAATTAAAAATGACAGACCAGAAAGACAAATCTTATTATACCTCACGCAAAACAAGTTGCTGAATGTAAAATGTTATTGACCTGTCCGTCAGTCCTGGTGGCACAACAAAATTTTAATCAAATTTGCAGATATTTAGGACACAATGTGTAGATGTGCATATTACAAGGAAATTCATTCCTTTACCTTGGAATTTTGCACTTTTCACTTTAATAGATAAGCCATATCTTGATTATAGATGAACAGTTTGTATGGAATCCAAATATGCACAGAATTTCATCAAACTTTGCAGATATTTAGGACACAATGTGTAGGTGTGCATATTACCAGGAAATTCTGATTCCTTTATTTTTTTAAGGAAATTTCAGCACAGTCAAGGTCACAAAGTCATTGACCTTGCTCTTTATTTGAAAGCCGTTTAATTATAGTGGACGTATGCATACCAAATATGAAGTCCGTCTATCTTTAGCATAGTTCAAAAGTTATGGCTCATAACTTTAATACTATTAGGCCTAGGATTATCAAACTTTGTCATTTGATGCATCTTGGGACAAAGGTGTGTCGCGCACAAAAATAGGTCCCCTGACCTTTTATTAAAAAGTTATAGCCAAATATGGAAAAATCCTTTCCGGCCCATAACTAGAAAACTATAGGACTTACAATCAAAGACAGTTTATGCATCTTTAGAAGGTGTATACCTATTTCAACACAACTTTAATTTAAGTGAAATTAAAAAAAAAAAAATGTCTTTTTACTATTCATTTAAGTCCCAAGTGTGTAAGAATATTGCACTCTCCTTATTAAAAACATGTTAAATCAAGAAAATACTTATTTTTTTAAGTATATTTGACAACAATTATAACAAATATAAATGTATCATGCTACACTCCCAGTACATTATCAAGCACTGTGGAATTTTATACAAAAATATCAAATTAGAGAGAAATTAATGAGTTTTGAGTGTGAGGATCTAACTGATGACTTTGTCACAAATGGCAAATGGTATACTCTGTTGGATTAAAAATTTTTGTGATTATCATGTTTTAAAGTAGCATTATTAACCATTCACTCTGTTATGACAAATATTTAACCTTGTTTTCATAATTATTCACAAAATAATTTTTAAATAAAGGGTAACCTTGACTTACATGATTTCCCGAAACTTTGTGTGTTTATGTTAAGAAAAAAAATTATGGTAGATTCCAGACCCATTCATCTCATGAAAAGTCTGCGATTCTTAATTACAGATTTGTTATAACAATGAAATATTTAGATTAAGAACACTAGTCAAGCTCAACAAAAAGTCCACTGAATCTCTTTGGGGATTAGACAAAAGAAGTGCTGGTCAGTTGAAAACATTATGTCATTGGATCAGGTGAAATGTAACAGAAAGTATCCCCTTTCAATCTGTGTTAAGACTTGTTTGCTTCTTTTCATGGGTATTTGACAAGGTCTTACAACAATAAAATGTGTAATATTTAATAATTAATGCCTACATCACAGTGAATGGATAAATATTTGAAGGAATGGTATCATGGAAATCTTAAATTCAAGGTTGATGTGATTTTCTTGCATGCTAAACTGTTCAAGAAAATTGTATTTTTTTGACTGGCGTATCATGCTGTGGCGCGGCACTTTATTCTTTCATTATATTTAAATTCCCTTATTGAAAAAGACTACAGGATATTTTATATGAAACTAGAGGAGACAGTTCCATATTCGTACACTTTAAGCACAAATTAATCAAGACACTCACTCACATACATAATTATTATATACAAATTACAATGTATAGTTTATTGATGTCCTCAATGTGAACAAGACAATTCCAAAGGTGGAATCAGGTGCTTTGAAGGAGTAACCATCCCACCTTAAGCAATAAAACCCTCTGTGAGCCCTCTGCTCATTGGGTAGACAAAATAATTCTTAGAGTGAATACTAAAACAGGTAATCAGAGATTGTAGAGTATGCCAGGGCATCAATGATAGTGGGGAATGTGGGATAATTTGTGTAGTTTATTTTTTTGCACTAATCAACAAATCTATGCCTTACATTAATGAAAAGGTAGAAATTGCTCAAAACAAGTTGATAAAACAAGAATATCAGCAGTCTTGTTTAAAGTATCATTTTAGTAAGTTCTATGGTCGATACAATGACCTTGTCACCAAATACAATCTATCATTAAATTAAATGCTCAACTAATTGTTGAGCAATATTTACACACTGAATTGTTGACAGATTTTTCCATCATTTCCAGATCTTGACAAGGAGCACATGTTCGGTGTGACCAGTCGGCAGGGGATGCTCACCCCTCCATGGTATCTGATCCCACCTCTAATGTTTTAGAGGTCTGTGTTTACTCTGCTCCAAATTTATAGTGTTTAATGGACTTTTGAACTTAAAAACTGTTCATTATCTGCATATTATTTCATGGTAACAGAATTGAAATCTGAATCCGGATTCTTCATTTATTTTGTGAAACTATAACTCAACTTCCGGATGAGGTATATTAAAGTTGCACAATATGTATTCATCAAGCCCAACAATCCCTTAAATATGGAATTTCTCTTCATCAAATAATAAAAATGAAAAAACAAAAAAAAATCAAAAATTGACTATTGTTTAATATTCATTGAAATTAATAATTATAATTACAATTAAATGAAGTGAATCTTTTAAAATAATTATATTCATCTACAATTAATGAAAGTCCTCGGGTTTAACAATAGATTGGTGTGATCTCATCTTAGACCAAGAAATCTTTTTATCCTTTTGCAAATACTCCTCTTCGATTTCTGAAATACAAAAGAAAACAAAAATAGTGCAAACATATTATCTTGCATAAGTATTTTATTTTTAAATGACAGATAATATACTATAGTATATTAACTTACATGCACCATTTTTTCTCCTTGTTTAGACATTTGCGTGATATCCTCAGAAGAATAGGGATTGTTTGCTGGTTCTGTGTGGACGTTTTTCTCTGTAGTTTCTTCTAACTAGATCAACAAAAAAGAAAATGTCAATCAGTAAGGAAATCATGATTGAAAAAAAAATTAACATGTACATTTAACAACTTCTGAATATAATGGAAAGTTTTTATTATGAAAGCAGAAATTTCGTTTTGGAAAACAAATAAATCTTGAGTTCAAATTAAATTACGATGAATGTCAACACAAGCAACCTTTTCTTTCAATTACAATTTTTTGTAGAATTCAATTTTGAATCGATCATTTATTGAACCCGCTTTTCAAATTTATTAAATAAATTTAAATAGGGTTAATTGAAGTGTGTTTCCAACTAAACTGTGAAAAAGTTAGGGAGGTCTGATACTCTTGTGCAGCAGTTAATAATAACAGATCATTACCTTAAAGTTAACAATCCCGAAAAGAAAAAGTCTTCTTGGTATAAAGTGGTCATCATTATCAGTATGATTGTCAGTCAATGGCTGTAAAAGACAGGGTTTCATACCAGGTATAAGTTCAAATATCAAAACTGAATGCAATTGAAAATTTTTGTTTTTATGAACAAAAAATCCAAAATCCATTACCACTTATTCATTATTTCAAAATGTACATGAATGTATAATAAAGATGTTTTACCTTTAAGTCTTTTTGCTCTTTTCCATTTCTGAACACTTCTTCCTCCTTCGAACTCATCCTGATCTCTAATCTCTTGTCATTGGGAAGCTCTGGGAGTTTGCTATATGAATGAAATTAACTAATTAACTTAAGAACACACAAAATAATATTATGATTGTATCGTTAAAAAAAATCAAAAGAAACTAAAATCCATTACACTGAAAATTACAACCTCTTGGTCTTTTTTATCGTTTCTAAAATGTTTTCCAAAATTCGAAAAGAAAAAATGTAAAACCTTAATTTATCATTCATCTTCTCCTGTGCCTCCTCCTTGGGAAGAAGATTCTGTATCTGGTTTGTAATTTCATGTGCCATGTCCTTGGAGAGGGGTTTCTGAAGTTGCTCTGTCTCCCTCTGAGCCTCGTCCTTAGAGATGTGTTCCTGGAGTTGTTCTGTCATTGTCTTAGCCTCCAAGGTCGCTCTAGATGGAATATCTGGCATCTTCTCTTTTGACTCGTCCATTGCAGCATCTTTCTCAATCTCTTTCTGTGTACTGACTTCTGACTTTACATGCGGCTGGGCTTGCTGTAAAATGCAAGTAATGTACATATAGGCATTTAGATTATCCTGCTCAAATTCACACCATGCAATTGTACTGAAAGTTGAAACATTGTTTTAATGCTTTAAATGCATATGAATATAATAAAAATGCGTTTGCGTTCCATACGTTTGTTTGAACTGTAATTGAACCATTCATCTTTTTTTTAAATAAGGATTTTTCAATGATTTAAACGAGGAAATAAAAGCTTTGGTTATCTTTGACAACAGGTTTAATGTGCAAAAACATCTCTTAATATTTGGCATTTTGATCAAACATGTAAGTTTTTTCGTTGTTTGTTTATAAACTTAATACATTTTTGTGATTTTCAATTATTTATCAACAATAAAACTGCTTAACATTAAACCATTTTTAATAAATTGCTATTAATTTTCACTGGAAATAAAATAAAAAATTAAGCAGATGTTGACTATTTAAATGATCATGAGAACACACACCTTAGTTTTTCCTTCACTTTCCTCCACCTCTGTTGCCCAGCTGTAGGCAAACTTCAATATTTCTAGCTTTGTATCCTAAAATCATAAATATCATAATGTGTATGGAATCAAAATAAAATGGGAAGTTTGGATTCCAAAAAAAAAAAATCCATTAAGAAATAGGAATTAATCCTGCTTTACAAACGACGGTTTTTAACAGTTGGATATAAAAACCTTCTATGAATAATTTCTAAGTATAATTCATTTAGATTATATTGTTTGTCATATATTTCGAAATGTAGAAATTAAGAATTGCAAACTTTAAACTTGCTAGTCTATAGCATTTTTCTCACACAGTATCTAAAAGAATACTTACCAAATCTCTAACTGGCTCTTCACCGAAATCCAAAATTGTCTCTCTATGAAAGAAATAGAGAGTGGTTCAGTGATCCATATATATAAAGCAGTATTTATATATACTATAAAATGCACAGGAATAACTTTAACTAATTTGAAATGACAATATACTCAAAAGCTTATATAGATTGCTGAATCAAAAAATTACCTTTGTATGGGTTCGTTCTTCTCATTCAACACCTGTTGGTTATTTTTCTTGGCATCTGTTTGGTTCAAGACCAGCACCTTTTCTTCCTAAAAGACAGTTACAAGATAATGAGCCCCCTGATTACTTACTGTAAATAAACCTATTATGGTTTTGCCTTCTAAATTGTTGTTTCTATAATTTGTTATGATTACAATGTATTATTAAATGGTGATTCTCTGTTTTCAAAAATAACAAAATGCAGTATATAAATTAAATTACAAATTGTAACTTTAAAAAAATGATTTTCTAGAAAATTAAATCATCAATTTATAATCAAAATATACCAATTATGAAAAATTTTGCATTTAATAATTTCATTAATTTAATGCCATGCAAACTACAAAATCTAAGCTGTATTCTTTCATTACCTTCATAATTCCCTCTTCTCTCTCCACTTCCTCAGACCAGTTATAATCAAATTTAAGAATTGCCAGTTTGGTATCCTAAAAAACACATTTAACTGCAAAGTTAGGATGATACTCAGAATTTCAAAGTGCATGCTTGGTAGTAAATCTCTTTCTTAGATACCGGTATACCGGGTATATACTGATTAAAGACTAATTCGAATGTCATGTAATTAGAAGAGGGAACACAACTTTATTGTTAAAGCAATGCCTCTACAAATAATAATTAACTTCTACCTACCACATCTTTAACAGCTTCCATTCCAAAATCCAAAAGTTCATTTGTTTTCTAGAAAAGAAATTATGAAATCGATTTCAAACTGTGTTTGACAATTGAACTTACAGTATGAATGTATTAAGATGCTTTTAAAAATTAATAATACCATTTAGAATGGTAAATAATAACAGTATTACATATTGCCAAAACATGTATACGTGAGCTTATTCCCTATAATACATTAAATTTAATTTGATTCAATATGCATCACAAACTACAATAATCTAAGCCGTCTTCAATCATTACCGTCATAATTCCCTCTTCTCTCTCCACTTCATCAGACCAGTTGTAATCAAATTTAAGAATTGCCAGTTTGGTATCCTAAAAAAAACCCATATTACTGCAAAGTTAGGATGATACTCAGAATTTCAAAGTACATGTTTGGTATTAAATTTTTTTCTTAGATACTTTGATAAAAAAAAACGCATTTAATTTTTTAAAATTCTAATTACATGTAATTACTTGTACTTAAAAGAGAGAACACAATTTTATTCTTGAAGCAATGCATCTTTAACAACGAAAATCGTATTTAACTTCTACCTACCACGTCATTTGCTGCTTCCATTCCAAAATCTAAAAGATCCATTGTTTTCTACAAAGAAATTATAAAATGTGAAATCGATTTTAAGCTGTGTTTGGCAATTGAACTAACAATTATTCTATGAAAAGAATAACACTAGGATGTTGTAGTTATGAAAACAACATACCTCCGACATATTTAATCAAGTGTTGTTGTAGTGACAATTATTTCGTCACATTAACTATTACGTTCGAAACTGTGTGTGTTATTATGACGTCATACACATCTTTTTATGTAATTCATTTGATTGCACTTGTATATCACACTGTTCATATTCCTTACCTTGGCTGTTCTTTCTTCTCTCTCAACCTCATCCACCCAACTATATTCGAACTTAAGAATTGCTAGTTTGGTATCCTGGAGAGAAAAAAAAACAATCTTGCAGACTTTGGAGTTAACTCAGAAATGGAAATTACATGTTTTTTTTTTCCAGACAATTATTTTCATTGACAAATGAGGGCAGAGAATTTTACGAGTGTTAAAAGAAATTCCCCAATGCATAATCGATAAGTAATGTGACACTATGCCATTCTAACTGATGCAGCATCTCGATACTACTTTAACTCCACAGGTACTTCATTCTATAATATTTTAAAACATTAAAATGATAACAACACATGTTATTAAATTCAAACTATGGATTAAAAATCTGTAACAGAATCAAGTACCGTGTTAAACTCAGGAGAATGTTAATGTTAATCACTTTAACACTGCTTAAGAGAGGAGTGTGTTTTATGTTGAATTGTACTTCCGTTTTTTAGGTGCAATGTCTATTTACAGAAAGACTAATTAAGTAGATGCAACCAAGCATCGCAGCAATACGTCAAAACAATTCAAAGAAATATTAAATGAATAAATTTTACCTACCGCATCTTTAACAGTCTCCTCTCCAAAATCTAAAAGATCCATTGTTGTCTACAAAGGAATAATTTATATATTTTGAAAGTGAACTGACTTGGTTTCAGTGTAGAATCAGTAAACTCAGTAAAATATTGTAAATAATATAAACACCTATCGCCGACATAATGTATCCAAGTTTTGTTGTAGTGACAATTGTTTCGTCACATTGACTGTGACGTTGTAAACTTTGTGACGTCAAACACATCATCCTTCTGCAGAGTTGCCGTTCGTTCCATTTAGACTTGACTTATTCATGACTAATTCATAAGATGTTACGCGGCAAAATTTTGATGTCATTTTTACAATAGAAGTACCTGGTATATTAAACCCATTGATCACTCAGTGATTAAAAATACTCGCAATATGGATGAGTTTGGTATAAATGGATAAGATATGAATAGAATTACCTGCTTCCTGTCAGAAAATAAAGTTTAACTAAATTCTATGGAAAAATAGAAATTTACAGCGCAAAAAGAGGTATTTTAAGCGTGTAACGCGTTACATTTTTAAACAGGGATCGGGCATTTTTCTTGTGTAAAGCGTTCAAAAATGAATCTAGAATTTTCATTTTCCTTACAGAAAAAGAGTATTCCATATCGTTTGTGACTTCATTTGCGATTTCGCAATAAATGGTGGCAAGAAAACGAGAGCAATTGCTTTTACAGAAGAAAAATCCGTAGCCCTATAAAATAAAAACGTGCATGTGGATATAAACATTAAACTTGCTCTTTTACAAGAAAGTTTAAATAGAAATAATACATGTATTATTGAAATAATGTGCTTTTCTTATATATATTAAATATTTCATTAATTTTGATATCAAAATACGTGCTTTTTCTCTAGTGAATGTATTACAACGTCAAGTTCGGCCATTCCAAGTTTTTTCTCCGTTTAGCGTCCACCCATCTTTCAAAAACCTAGCTACCTATTCGCAAAAAACACATTCGCAAGTCAAAAAAAATAAAACACATATTTTATAGTTATAAGAATGACGTATTTTAAAAGATATGATTTCATTTATCTATTTTGCATAAAGAAAGTTATTTTCTTCAGCAAAATCAAGGTATTAAATACTGAAACTATTCCAATAATGAAATATTATACAAATATTTAGAGATATTGCTGGAAATCACAAATTTTGACCTGAATAATTAATTTTCGGACTCCTGATTCTGTTTGTTTTTTCTGACATGGGGTGTCAAAAACCAAGGCGCACGCGGACGCTAAACATAGAAAAAAAAACTTGGAATGGCCTAATCTCTTTTACAAGAAAGTTTATACTTGCACGTACCTAAATGCAGAAAATATTTCGATGTGCACAGCCTCAGCTTTATCCAAGTTTTTTTTTAAACCTGTCATCTGTAAAGCCTTTCCCCTATAATTTCGTCTTTTATAAAATTTGATTTTATATAAATAAGAAAATAAGTTCTTTCATATAATATGTAATAGTATCTAATTATCTATGAGCCCATAAATCGCATGCAAAAAGCGGGGGGGGGGGGGGGCAAGGCGGCATCATTTAAAAACAAGAGGCCCAGGGGCCACATCGCTCTCCTGAGCAATGGCTAGGTAAAAGCAAATGTAAAACGTTGATCACCCATTGTAGCCTTGCACAAGGGGTCATGATTTGAACAAAATTGAATCTTCCCTTTCAGAAGATGCTTCTGCATGAGTTTCATCTTTCGTGGCCCAGTGAATCTTGAGAAGAAGATTTTTAAAGATTTTTCCTATGTAATCATATGTTGAATTTTGATACCCCATTGTGGCCCCACCCTACCCCCGGGGGTCATGATTTGAATGAACTTGAATTTACACTACCTGAGGATGATTCCACATGAGTTTCATCTTTCCTGCCCCAGTGGTTCTGGAGAAGAAGATTTTTAAAGATTTTCCCTATGTCTCCTATGTTTAACTATGATACCCCTTTCAGGCCCCATCCTACCCCCCAGGGACATAATTTGAACAAACTTGAATCTTCGCTACCTGAGGATGATTCCACATGAGTTTCATGTTTCCTGGCCCAGTGGTTCTAGAGAAGAAGATTTTAAAAGATTTTTCCTATGTATTCCTATGTTGAACTTTGATACCCCATTGTGGCCCCACCCTACCCCCGGGGGTCATGATTTGAACAAACCTGAAACTACACAACCTGAGGATGATTCCACATGAGTTTTATCTTTCCTTGCCCAGTGGTTCTGGAGAAAAGGATTTTGAAAGATTTTTCCTTTATATTCCTATGTAACCCTTTGATCAGTCATTGTGGCCCCCCCTACCCCAGGGGGTCATGATTTGAACAAATTTGAATCTTCACTACCTGAGGATGCTTCCAGGTGAGTTTCATCTTTCCTGGCCCAATGGTTCTGGAGAAGAAGATTTTTAAAAGATGCCATTAATTTTTCATCAATTCATAATTATCTCCCCTTGGAAGAGAGCTTGGCCCTTCATTTGAATAAACTTGAATCCCCTTTACCCAAGGATACTTTGTAGCAAGTTTGGTTGAAATTGGTCCAGTGGTTCTTGTGAAGAAGATGAAAATGTGAAAAGTTTACAACAATGCAACAACTATGACGACGACAATGACGACAGACAACGGACAAATTTTGATCAGAAAAGCTCACTTGAGCCTTTGGCTCAGGTGAGCTAAAAATGTTAGACTTTTTTTCGTATAGATTTGTATTGTAACAAATTTTTAAAGGTATTATCACATCCAATTCTATTCGAATTGGAGGCTTTTATCGAAGAAAGTGTTAATTTCCCATATTACAAAATCCATAGATCCGCCTATAATCCCTATAATCAATTAGAGTTATTCCCCCTGAGTCAACTTCCGTTAATCCTTTTTCATTCACAGACTATATGAATGAGGTTGGTGCAATTTTAAAGGATAATTTTTTGCAAATTTAGATATTTAGAAAAATACCCTCCTCACCCAACCCTTATTGGAATAGATTTTTGCGCTGTGTTTTTCTTTCTATTGCAGCTGTCCTACAAAAGGATCACTTAATATCAAATGGTACGGCTGTTACAAGAAAAAGTCTACCTGGAGACCAACTTAGATGAACTTTTCGCAAACCTTGGCCACTGCTCCTCCCAGGGCCAATGTTTCCTAAACAGTGACTGATATATAAACGACAAGTAAAGAAGGCGCATAAGCGGCATGTAATTCGTAATAAATATATCGTAAATAACACCTCTGGCGTATAAGCGGCATTTTGGTAATTATATTGTAAGCTTTGACCTCTGCACCTCCCAGGGTCAATGCTTTCTATATATATATATGGTGAACTTTGAACTTTGATGTTGTGAACTTTGAACTTTTGATGTTGTATGAACTTTGACTTACCACTATATGAACTTTGACCTTTGGTAATGACCTTGATATATGATTTGCTTTGATGTTGAATGTTGTTTGTGCATTTGATTGGGGCATGCTCTTGTCTTGGCTGCCCATTGCCCATATGATATTGTTTGTTTTGCATTTGAAACTAAATAACAGCCGTGCCCATAATATCGCCACACTTTAATAAAATTAATTTCAAGTTACCATTTGTTTGCGTTACACTTTTCTGAGATAAAACAAATTAAGTTGCATATGAAAATAATGATTTTGCATTAATTCATTTCAGCAAAACACTGCTAGATTATTGAAGATACCATTTGCTAGAAATTGTTTGATAAGATAATTGATGCATTGTACATACCTATGAACTGATATTTTACAATGATTTTCAAAAGTTTGATCATTTGAGTGTTCATTAAATTAGCACTCCATAGTACGTACGCACATTCAGCAATGCATTGTACATATAAACACCAAAACTTCTCCTCTGCTTTTAAGGGCTTGGAACCTTCTGCTTGAAATAACATATCCCATGGGATATGTTAATTCAAGCAGGCAGCATTAAAAGTTTTGTGCCTTTTTTCATTTATTTTCTTCTCTCTCATCTGTTGGTTTTTTTTTTCTTTTTTTTTTTTTTTTTTTTTTTAATTTTTTTTCACATATATATATTTTTTTTACATTTTTTTTAGTGTTGTTTTTTCTTTCTTTTTTTTTTTTTGTTTTTGTTTTTTTCCCCCTTTTTTTTTGCTTGTTTTTTTTTCTTTCATTCTTTTTTCTTTTTGTTTTTTTTCTGCACAAAACTTGCCAATGAGATTAAAATAATTTCACATTTGCGATTAAAAATTCCACACTAAAATTCACAACTTCACATCAACAATTCACAATTGCATTAAAATATCACAATTTAACATTTTTAGAGGCAAATCTCTATGTTACACTTTCAAATACAATATTACAATTTTATATATATTTTTTTCTGAATATTTAGTCACATCAGTATATTGACTTATCGAGGGATTCAATTTCACAATAAACTATAATAACAAAAAGGCGACTATACAAACTATTCTTTCTACAACAGCTGACAGAATTTCTATGAATACTTATGTCTGATAATTAACAATCATTACATCTGGAACATATTTAACTTCATCAAAACAATAACAATAATGAATCATTATCTCATTGGCATAATAATAAAAAGATAATTAAAGACAAAGCAGCCTCCAACTAGTCCCTTTCAGCTTCTCCTCCCCGAGCCAGCCTGGCAACCGTGGCGGTGAAGGAACTTAAGTTCCAGCCAGTAATGCCTCAGGGTATCGATAAAGCCTACTTACAACTAACCTTCAACTACTTCATCTTAACAATATGAACATAATTAGCTAATGAAGAAGAAAAGAAAAGCATGGGGTCAGTGTGGGAGGAAGACGGAGTACCCGTAGAGAACCCACGTGTCCGAATGGGCGACCCCATACCCTGACATAATTCGGACACCCTTCAAAAATTTATATTTTTAAAAAAGTCTTTGAAAAAAACATTGTTACTAAAATGGATTTTCATCAGTGCTTTGAAGATGTGGATTAATCCTGCATAATTATAAGTCCTGCTTCTTCATCCACACATATGATCTCAAGGATGTTCCTTCTAAAAGTTTCTTTGATTTTCTGTAAATGAACAAGGCAAGAGATAATTGTCAGGTTTGAATAAAAAAAATTAAGAAGAGACATATATGCTACATTGCTCACCTGAGCTCTAAGGGTAGGAAAAAGTAGAAATCAATACAGTACTTTAGATCACCATATTTTCACAACACCTTAGTTTAGTGACTTAGCTATTTGGTATTAATTTGTGAAACAACATTTTCGCTAGCTGTGGTTT